GTTTAAACTATACTTATTTTTTGTGTTTGAAAGTCTATTTTAATATTTTTAATATGATGTAAAATATTATGAATAATATTATAATTTATATTGAGATAAAAGCATAGCAGTTTGGTATTGTAAACGTCTTTTGTATTTAATCGAACGGCTATATGATATAAATAGGCTTTCATTACAAAATAGATGAACAGTAGAATGAAAAATATTTAAAACTTAGTTTTTCTGGAAAACCATATAACAATGTTAACATTTTAGTTTTTTTATTGCTGTATGTATAACCTATTTTGTAGTCTCTCTAGTACGTGAAATCATACATGAAACCCAAATCTTTAAAGTATTTTTGAGTGACTTCGCCTACAAGCGTTTCGATTTGGTTCTGCAATTGTTGTATGACGTCAAATTTCTTTTCCATCACAGTTGGCGTCGCCTTTTTTTTAAAAATATCTTTGGATATATATTTTTCTGCGACGTTTGGCGGTTTATCGTTGTCCGGTATAATACAATAGTTCCTTAGAAAACTATCTAACGGTTGCGTCGTGTTGAGAAACGCGGAAAATCTTCTTTTTAGTTCGCTAAATTTGTCTTTGTAGCAGTTGTCGCCTTCCCCGGCGTAACTATGCAATACTAGTGTTATGTCTGTAGACGCGTCTTTATAAAACAACAAGGTGCTAACGAAATTTGTTTTGTTGCATGGTAACGTTTTAAAATATTCTTGCGGCACCAGTTCTTGTAAGAAGCGCAACGCTTCAGACATGTACTCGAACATCAACCAACTTTTCTTAAATTGCTTTACCGCGCAGTTAAATATTTTCCAGGAATCCATTAAATCATCGGAATCTTGACTAGAAGACGGTTCGTCAAAGTAATTCTTTTCGTTAACATCTTCTACGTTGGCTTGTTGGTTTTCTTCGTCTGATGAACGCTTTTTATTTTTTGTATCGCCTATTTCGCGTGCCTTTTTCCGTGACTTCATTGTAGTCACGCGACGTCTTTCCAATGTGCAGAGACGTAAAATGACTTTTGTCAAATTAATAAATTTCACCAACGCATTTGCGTACACACAAGACAACGAATAAATAACCATGTCGTATTTTATTTTGTAGTTATTAACGTTTACAATTTGGTCGAATTCTGCACCGTTTCTGAGTAACAGAGCACTTACAGAGGAGGGGTTGTCTTTTTTACCAGGGAGTCGGACTTGCAAGTTACTAAGCTTTTCCCATCCTGAAGATTCCAAAAGCGTATTAAGTGCCTGAATGGTTTCGTATTCGTCAGTACAATAAACATTTTTTCGATTGTCAAATACCAAAATTGGAATCAATAAAGTTATTAAGACGTTGAAAAACATTTTCTTACGAAGTTAACTGAATCGCGATTTTTTAAAATTTTATTTTAGTGACACCAATATAATAGATAAATGCGAAAATGAAACTAAGATGTTTTTTTATGGTTTCAACTTACAAATACACACTATATATAAACTTAAATATTGATTTTTTTTTATAACCTTTACACTTTTATTTGTCTTGATGCTAAGGTAGACTCATTAATTTAAGTGTCGCTATTATACTGTTATAACCAACTGTTAAAGCACATTTTGTATGTCTTAATGCTACATTAGACAGGTTAATCAAAGTTTTAATGTACGTAAAGTTGTATGTTTCATTTTATAATGTGTTATAACATCGAATGCGTAAAAACAATATAGTTTTAATTTTATGTTAAAATTTATATTTATTTTTTTTGTGTGCGATAATTTTGAGCATTATTAAAGCACATGCGCGGTATAGTTAATTATTTTTTATTTTATATAAATCATTATACTTATACAGGTTTATTAAACAAGTACAGCCTAATTCAGTACAGTTTAATCCATATACTGGTTGATTGAGCTCGATGTATACTGTAGTAGTTTACACTGCACTTGCTTAAACTCTGCTTTATTTGTACTGGTCTAGACTATGCTGATTCGCACTATGCTTGATGGGAACAAGTATCTCGAAATTTCAGAAATGTTGTACTATTTTGCTTGTAACTAAGAAAGTATTCAAACAATCTATATTTGTATTTTCCCGCTCCCTTCTATACAGCTTTCCCGATCTACTGTTAGCTCGTATGATCAATTCTGTTCAGCCGTTCATTCACAAAAAGGTGGCAAAATGTATGGTAAAATTTACACGCGTTTAATGGGATTGCTATGCTTGGTTTATAGTAAACACGGCGGTGGATGCTACGCTATTTTATAAAATTATATAAATCATAAAATAAATGTATTATAATTTTCACAATAACACAAAAAAAACCTATGGTTGTGATTTTCCCGAATTAAGAAAAAAAAAATTTGTTTAATACATATTTTATATTACGATATTACAGAACTATGAATAGTTATAATTTATATTGAGGTTAAAGTGTAACAATAACGTCTTTTATATGTAAATGAACGCTTACCTATATTTTATAAGTGGCTTACATTACAAAATAGATGAACGGAAAACCATATAGGAACGCTGACATTTTAATTTTTTATTTGTAATCTATTTTGTAGACTCTCTAGTTCGTGAAATTATAATAAAAACCTAAATCTTTAAAGTATTTTTGAGTTACTTTGCCTACAAGCGTTTCGATTTTGTCCTGCATATGTTGTACGATGTCAAATTTCTTTTTCATCAAAGTTGGCGTCGCTTTTCTGTGAAAAATATCTTTGGGTATATATTGTTCTTCGACGTTCGTCGGTTTTTCGTTGTCCGGTATAATGCAATAGTTGCTTAGAAAACTATCTAACGGTTGCGTATCGTTGAGAAATTTGGAAAAACTTCTAGCGAGATTGCGAAATTTGTCTTTGTAACAGTTGTCGTCTTCCCCGACGTAGCCATTTAGTACTAGTGTTATTTCTATAGAGGCGTCCCTAAAAAACGACAAGGTGCTAATGAAATTTGATTTTCTGTATGGTAACGTTTTAAAATATTCTTGCGGCACCAGTTCTTGTAAGAAACGCAACGCTTCAGACATGTACTCGAACATCAACCAACTTTTCTGAAATTGTTTTATCGCGGAGTTAAATATTTTCCAGGAATCTAATGATTCGTCGTTATCTTGACTAGAAGTCGGTTCGTCAAAGTAATTTTTTTCGTCGAGATTGTCTTCTTTGACTTGTTGGTTTTCTTCGTCTAATGAACGCTTTTTATTTTTTGGCTCACCTATTTCGCGTGACTTTTTCCGTGACTTCATTGTGCTTATTCGACGTCTTTCCATTGTGTGGAGATGTAAAATAACGTTTGTCAAATCTATAAATTTTACCAACGCATTTGCATACACACAAGACAACGAATAAATAATCATGACGTATTTTCTTTTGTAGTTGTGAACGTTTACGATTTGTTCGAATTCTGCACCGTTTCTGAGTAATAAATTACTTACAGGAAACGGGTTGTCTTCTTCGCCAGGGAGTCGGACTTGCAAGTTGCTAATATTTTCCCATCCCGAAGATTTCAAAAGCTTATTAAGTGCGTCAATGGTTTTGTGTTCGTCGGTACAATAAACATGTTTTCGATCGTCAAATACCAAAATTGAAACCAATAAAGTAATTAAGACGTTGAGAAACATTGTCTTAAGATGAAGTAAACTAAACCGCGATTTTTTGTTTGTTTTATTTTACTGATACTAATCTAATCGATAAAAGCGAAAATGAAACTAAGATTTTTTTTATGCTTTCGACTTACTATTACAGAGTACAGTATTGATTTACTTTTTGATTTTTTTTTAATATCTTAAAAACACGTTTTCTTTGTCTTATTGCTACGGACACATTAATTAATTTATGTGTCGCTATACTGTTATAGCCACCTGTAATATATATTTTCTATGTCTTATTGCTATATTAGACATGTTATATTAAAATTTCATCGTATGTACTGTTCTTTGTTTCATATAATGTATCATGATATCTTATGTGAAAAAAGGAATACGGATTAAATTTTATGTTATTTTTTTTCTGTACGATCATTTTTAACATTATCAAAGCACATGGATAATATAGCCATTAATTTGTTATCTTAAATAAATTATTATATTTATACAGGATTATTAACCAAGTACAGCCTAGTTCAGTACAGTTTAATCCATGTACTAGTTGATTGAGTTTGGTTTATACTGTACTATTTTGGACTGCACTAGCCTAAACTGTGCTTGATTTGTACTGTACTGGTTTAAACTATATATAATAATTCAGTCTAATGGGGAGGGGGGGGGGCAATTTGTGGATTGGGGCATCCCTTTCCTTTCCTGATAAAATGGCGTTGTATTTATAACATGCTAAATTTATTAGAGTCACCACAAATCTTGATATAGTAAGTAATCGTGTACCTCTGTAATGTGTACTATGACTACTTGTATGGCTTAACGAGGAGGATGATTATTTTGCTACGAGTATTGTATGATAAGTGCATTGCAGCCCAGGTATACAAATGGGAGTGTTAAACATCCTAAAGGAGCTCAGCATTCGGTCAGAAATGTACTCGGAATATCATAAAAAGCAATTAAATCTGAGTGCAAACGTACATTAAAGTCCATGTTAGGAACCCGCCACAATTATTTTGACCACATAGCTCATGAGTACAACGAAAATTTCCGTGTTAAGTAACACAACTCCTAGAAACATAAATCTAAAAGTACTTTTACACAAGTGTTCAACACGTTTTTTGATTTTCAACTTTGACGTGAGGCCGAAAAGGTGTTGTTTTTTGTTTATCGAATTTATTTAAAAATCTCCAATAAATTGCATACGAGTGTTTAGTTCTAACCATATCCTATAAATTCTAAACATTTAATACAACCCTTTTATTCTATTTATTGGAGATTTTTAAATAAATGTAATAAACTAAAAACTACCCTCTTTGGCTAGAATTCAACGTCGGTGTGGCACACGATGGGGTTGAGTAATCGAACCCGAATCTGTTAAAGCTAATACACTGTTGCAACTGTTACACTACTGCACTTACCTCCAGATAATGTTCTGGTAGCAAGCGTATGCTGCCATATCGTGTCGCCGGCATCTGTGTGAACGATCATCTGGATTTCATACACAGTGGCTGGCTGTAAGTGGCTGATGGTGAACGTATCGCTGATCAATTTTTGTTTGGTAAACGTTATCCAAACACCTTTTTCGGGGTTTTCGTAGTTGATTTCGGCGTACTTGCATGTAAATGAATGTATGGCACACAGATTAACGGGCCATGTGCTGAACGTGAACGTCACACTGGTCGAATTAATGGCAAGCACGGCATTTTCTTCCGGGACCTTTGGAACTGTTAAGAAAAAAGACAAGACGTTAAAATATTTAAATTATTTCCATTTAACGAGTTTACATCTTTTTTGACTTATGTGTCAAAAATTACAGAGCCTAGTCCACGAAGCAAATGTGATCAACACAAACCCAAACAAGCAATAGCACAAAAGGTGCAGAAGAAATTCCAGTCAAAACAAATTTTGCTGATAAGGTGTGACGGATGAAAGAAAATATCGAAAAGTTTTTAGTTGTAAGTATGAATGTATTAATACTTTTATGGATTCGATTGAATGAGTAGTTTGATCTGGAATTTATCAAATTAAAGACTGGAAGTAATTGATACTAATTAAAAGGAAACAAAGTAAAGCCTACATACGGTGTTTCTTCTAGATTCCGCTGTATTGTTGTAAAATGGGTTTTATTGCTAGTAAATTGTATACAACTAACCTCCGCCTTTAGTGAATACTTCTTCGACGCGGCTGATCTTACTGGCGCCGACCGTGTTGACGGTTTGCATTGACACGCTGTACTTAGTTCCGCATTTCAACTGGTTTACACTGCACGTAAACCGGTCAGAATCTATGTCCATCCTTTGGGGACCACCGGCATCTGTCTGGTAAAATAGTATATATGCAGTGGTCTCGGCGCCAGACTGTTTGACGGGTTTCCATTGCACCAGGAGAACGTCTGTCGAAACGGAATCCACAAGAAATTCCGGCGGTTGCGGCGGATAGAGCACGTTTACCGTGTACGATATTTGATCCCTTCCGAATATATTTTCCACGTGACACGTGTAATTTCCCTCGTATGAACTGTCGTCCACAGGTCCAATCGACAGACTGCCGTCGTCTGAAATCCTGCGTTGACGGAGAAAATACATACTATTATATAAGCATGCACAAGATCTTTGAAGCACGGTTGTCTCTTACTCTGTTTCGGCTCCTTCCGGTTGTTTCCACTTGACAATCGGAGTCGGCATGCCCACCGTAAAGCATTCGATCGCAATCTTTGATCCGACCACGATGTTGACGCGTTCACCAAACGACGCCACTCTGGCTGGAGCTGTTAAACCAAAACATCAAGACAATCAGAAAACAATAACCACAGCTGGCAGTTTTGCCATCGTTGAAATCCATCCGGTGGTTACCTCTGGAATTTGGACTTTGGTTCACACGGAAACTTGGCTGTCCTTCGCCCACTACCGTCGTAGCGGTTACCCAAAATTCGTAGCGCTGGAACTCTTTCAATCGACGGATTTCTACTTTTGTGTTCTTGTCTCCAAAAACTATTTCTTTTTCCACTATCTGTAAAGCACAAGAGTCCATTGTTAAACGTCACAGAGTGGCGTTCGAACATTGTTTGAATACGAAAAAAAGATCATCTGATTTTTCTGTCCTATCCTCACCCCATCTAAACCTTATCCCCAACCCATTTCCATTTACAGTGTTTGTAGATTACAAACAAGCATACTTGAAGAGCTGTTATGCAAGGCAATGGATAACAGCTCTGGTCTTGAATGAACCGTTAAGCTGGGAAAGAGAAGTTCCCATCCACATCGCTTTCATACTTAATTACCATTCCTTCCTCATCCATCCTGATTTCCATTCATTGATGGCCTCACAGTAACACTTTTTCGGCTTTTCGCCAGTTTAGCCGCTCCCAAAAAACATGTTCAAGGTTAAAACAGTTATTCCCTTACTTTATTGTGTTTCACGTGTACAATATATTTTGTAATTATGCCGTTCGGTCGTTTTGGTTGTGTCCACGAAACAAGAATACTGCTTGACGTTACAGTAAGAGCTTTCACATTGTCTGGCGGCCCAGGGACTGAAAAAGTTTTAAAGGATGTTACAGTAGTGTTCATATCTAGCGTGAAGACTGCGTTAGCCATCAAAACAGCGATTAGAAAACATACCGTCTTGTTCGGTTACACAATAAACAGGACTGGATTGCACGCCATCGCCGACCTTGTTATAAGCTAAGACTCTTACACTGTAGTTGGTGTATTTTTCCAAACCGTGAAGATTTGTTTCTAGATTGGTCGTCTTTTTTATTTCGTTTGGAACAAACGAACCTAGTTTGAAAATTCAATACCGAGTAATAAATAGACGGACTTAGCTACACATTGATCAATTTTTTTTTACCTGATTTTTGGTTTATTTTTTTATAGTTAATTTTGTAGCCCACAATAGTGCCGTGATGACTTTGAACTGGTGGAGGGATCCAACTCAGTCTCAATGATTCCGTCGTTAGAGGTGAACACTGAATGTTCTGAGGAGATTCACTTGGCACTAAAATCAACGGTTTAAATCAGATCAAATAGTATAAGTTAGTTTTAAAATGTTAACGACCATATACCTCCTTCTAAAGTAGTGATTCGTATGAAATCTGAATCTGGTCCGGCTCCAACTCTGTTAAACGGCTTCACGGATATCCTGTACGACGTGAACGGCTTAAGATTTGTAATTTTAAATTCGCATTTATCGAAACCCAACGTAGTCTTAGAGTTAATTTCGGATACTTCATTTGCGTCCACGTAGTTGACTTTGTAGCCGATAATTTGTCCGTTCCACGTGTCTTTGTCCGGCGGCTGAAACAATAGATAAATCGTGGTTTAGTCTATTTCTAGTCTCAGCAAGAAAACAGTATAAATAAACGCACACTCCATCGGATTGTAATTTGGTTCTTTTCGACGTTCACAGCTTCCACGTTGTCTGGAGGCGCACTGGGCACTATAAAGTATAATAAATGATTACAATAATATTGCACGAAACTCATATTTTTTTTGTTTTTAAACTATTCTCACTGTCTTCCAAGGTGGACACGGTACTATTTTGACTCGGATCGCTGGCACCGAAGTCGTTGACGGACACGACCCGTGCGGTATACACCGTGGCGGGTTTTAAAAACGAAATTTTCATGTAGGACAAACTTCCACTGACTGTATAGTTGGACCAGTCTCTACACGTGTTAGTGCACATCTGAAGTATATAGTGTGTCACGTGCATTCTCGCTGGCTCCCATCGAAGCTCTATCCATCTTGCCCCCACTTCTACCACGTCTAGTTGCCCTGGAGATTCAGGCGGCTCTAAATTTCATTAAAAAACAATATCTGTTAGTTTACAAAACTGTGATGATTAGAATCAGCACTGACCTCTGACTACTAAATTGATGGTCATGCGATCATAGCCATAGGAGTTGGTCGCCATACACGCATACACGCCCGTTTGACTGCTGTATAATGAATTTAAATGGAGTTCTGATATTATTCCTTTTTCCGTTTCTTTGGTAACAACGTTTTCAACAGAAGGGTTCCATTCGACGTTTAGAGGTTTCGAGCCTTCCGCCTGGCATGCCAATGTCACTCTGCTTCCGGCGACGCCACTCAGGTTGATGATCTTTTCTTTAAAATGAGCCGGAACTATAATAACATACATAATGACACAATTACCATATTAATATTATTATATTGGGTTACGGAAATAATTTATCGCGTAGATTATAATAATTGTCTTGTTTAATTACTATGAACTTTTAAAGAAACCGTTTTCATTATTTGACTTCCGATTCCGTTATCCGCAGTACACGTGTAATTGTCTTCATATTTTTGCGTTGTAAGGCCTATGGTTAATGAACCATTTCCTAATACCGTTAGTGTAGTTTCGGAAAACATGTTGTACGACTGCAATACTTGATTATCTTTTGAAGTACAAAAAAAATACATATAATTTAATAAAATTAATTTCGAATATTCAAGAATAATATTGTGAAAAAAATCCTAACCGGAAGCTCTAGTCCATGTTATTCTTGGCTCCGGGTAACCTTCGGCTTGACAATTGATCACTGTGAGTTGATTGTCTAGAACTGACGTGTCTTCTGGTTCGATTACCCATCTCGGCGGAACTGTATTGATTATAAACATGAAATCGTTGTAAACCGAATGGTCGGCGATGGATTTTTCTTACCTTTGATGTTGAGGAGAGCCGAGTAGTTGCTGCTGGCTACAGAGTTACTAACAATGCAAGTGTACACTCCGGCGTGATGCGGTTTTAAATTGCTGAAAAGAAGAGTGCTTGAAAACTTAAAATTTTGCAGCTCAATTTCATTATCCGTTGTTAGTACTCTGTTGTCTTTTCGCCAAACAAACTCCATGGGGAGATCTCCTGATTTAATGGTGCAAGACACTTGGGCTCTTTCGCTTTCTTGCAAGTCTTTTGTAAACTGAAATGGCGTAACGACTGGTGGCTCTGTTGAAATATGCACGGGTGATCGGATTGAAACGAACGGCATTACAAACAAACAAAAAAAAACATACTCATGATTCTCAAGTAAAGATTTCCCGTGGCCGATTGACCCTTTTCGTTGATTTTCGTGCACACATAATGCCCGGAATCGGTTATATCTTGAGTAGAACGCACCAGGAGCGTGCCGTTGTCAAACAATATATGCCTGGAATGATTTGGAATTGACACCATATCTTTTTGCCAAGCAGTCCTCACTATCGGATAACCAGCAACGGGACATTGCAAGTACGCATCATCTTCCGATCGTACGGTTAAGTTTAAAGGTGACCTTGCAACTGGATCGCCTAAGACAGACATTTAAAAATTGTCAGCAATTGGGAGATGAGAATGTTAAGACTGATGAGTGGAGTGATTTGGGAAGATAGAAAAAGAAATTAATACACAAGGAGGAGTCTAGGGGTTTAATCAATTGTGGAGAAAATGAGAGAGAAAAGGCTGAGATAGTTTGGTCATGTTATGAGAAAAGATGAGGCAGCAGAGGCAGTGAGAGGTGTTATGAAGAGAGAAAAAGAGGAAGAGGAAGACCAAAGAAATGATGGATGGACGGAATACAGAGTGATATGAGGATAGACTAGGGTGGCCGACCCCATGTAGTTGGGAGTGTAATGACTTGGGTTCTCATCTTCCCCTCAGCACTAACTGTCATGTTATGGTTTAAACGCAAACATTGGTCATTCTGTTTTCATTCTCGATCACTTTCAATTATTTACCCATTTGCCTCATCTCTCTCTCTCTCTCACTGTGACATGCCCAAATCACGTCCACGCATATTCACAAACAGATGTACACATTATGTAAGACTTTCTAAAATCTTTATGTACCCACCGTAGATTTTAATCATGGACGAATGCGATTTAAATCCTAGAATGTTCCGTGCTAAGCAAGTATAATATCCTCCGTGTAAAACATCAGCAATCGATACGTTTAAATAGCTTACAACGTGCCCTAGTTGCATGGAAAAAGTTAATAATTATTATGATATTCATCTGTTGTCCAGTTAACTTACCGTCGATGTGCATGTAACTTCCGAAGACATAATCCCCTTGGGGTAATAAAAGTCCACCGTCAAGATACCAGTAAATTCTCGGCGGTGGATTGCCTGAAGCTGTACACCTTAGCGACAGAAATCCACTGAGCCGAATTATCTGGTCGGAGAACGTTTCCAATAATTCGGGCGAGACAGCTGCAAACGTTTTTTTTATTTAAATAATTTACACAACTAGATGATAACCACAACGGTCTTACCTCCGAGTGTGAGCAAAGTGCTGGCTTGTGCAGTTTCGTCTGTACCGGGATCTCTGGCAAGACACTGGTATATTCCTTTGTCTTCCTTCATCACGTTCCGTATGACCAAGTGATTTCCTTTCTGGGAAATCTCATGCCGGCCAAAACCCTTAATGGGCGCACCGTCTTTTAGCCACGAAAACAAAGGTTGAACAGACGTCCCTTGTGTAGTGCAATTGAAAATTGCGGTCGAACCCGAGTCCACTACCTGCACACAAGAGTAAATTAGTTTGAAAAATTTGACACAAAACCATTTTCGTTTGCCCCAACTTGTTTCAGAGGATACGTGCTGACGGCAAACGGTAAATTGGCCGACAAGGCAACTTTTCGTTGGTCTTGGCCCAGTTTACTAGACACAACGCATTCGTACGTCGTAACCGATTCGGCCATTGGAACTCGAACGATATGCAATAGCGATTGGTACGGATGTACAGTTAACGATTCGATGGGAACTTCTTGGGCGTTTTCTTTGCTGCTCCGGAACCACCTTACAGGAAAATTAGGTTGTTTATTTAATTTTAGTGGATCTAACTTAACCTGACCTAACCGGAAATGGCTTACTTGTACGTCGGAGCAGGGTAACCCTCGGCCAAGCATATCAAATCGGCTGCTTGATTGACATTGGCGTGGACGTGGCCCGTGTGGTATTTAATGGTCGGCGGTACATCTTCAGTGGGTTGTTTTACCACAATTTTGGCGGTTTGACTTACCAACTGGTCGCCAGTGTACTTGTTGACTACTTGACAAAAGTACCTGTCGAACGTGTCCTCTGGTACCACGTCGTGCACTAGCAGTGTACCGTCCGACGCGATCACGTAACGACCACCCATATGTATAGGAATCGTCTGACCTGGTTCGCCTCTGGACTCGTCCGTTTTAAACCACGTTTTCGTTAAATGCTCACTGGTCAACTCTGGGGATTGACATTTAAACATGGCTACGTTCCCTTTGAGCACCACTGCGTTTTGAATACTTATTTCCAGTGTTTTTGCCATGACTAAAAATTGTGCAAACAACATGTTAAAATAGTTTTCATTGACAAATGCATCTTGATCAAGCAAAGTATAGACTTTCGCATTATGAAATTTATAGCCTAACAAGATGGTACTGTGTTGTAATATTATGATGTTAAAAGGAGAGAAGGGTTTGGACAGCACAGAGCTTGATTAATTTTGTCTCCTCGGTGTTCCTTTGTAAACACAACCCGAGTTCAATATTATGCATGATGATATTATAATATTGTACATCAAGATATATGAAACTTTGCGAGTCTATTGGTCCGGACGAATACGGAAAACCACCAATTAAGTTGATTAACGAACACTGGTGTCATTAAAGAGAACATGTCAAATATGTTGACAATCAGGACACATTAGTATATGAAATGAATACTTCATTTGTCGAATAACTCATTATCTTATTCGAAGCTTGAAAATTCTGAATCTCAACAAAAATCCACGACCGGACGTCGAAAATAAAGATTAGAAAATATTGTTTTAACATTAAAATAATATATAAATTGTTAATGCGATTTTTGTTAGATAACTTCCAAAGCGACAATGTCCACACGGATAACCGGGTTTTTTTGCGTTCAACCCGAACCAAAGCAAATCAATAATTATGCAAATTAATTTATTTTCGTCTTTCAAGTCTTAAAAAACAATCTGGTTGTATTTTAATTTATGCGAATTTCAACGCGAACCTAATTTATTCAACGAATGATTTCCAAAATTATTCAGTTAAAACGTAATCGTAGGTAAAATAAAAGGCAAATAAAATCAATGAGTAATAATGAAACATAATTGCGTTAACGTTCCGGAAGTAATGAACATCATTGAAGCTCTGTGCAATAATAATTTATTTAGTGAAGGAACTATTAAAAATTCTCCGGCGGACGCGGAAAAACCCAGCAACTACAGGGGAGAGGTTGGTGGCGAAGGAGTACAATATTTATGGAAATCCTTACTGGCTTTAATCCTGGATTCCCGTGAGACGATTCTCCCGATTGGGTTTTCCAGGGCACATTTGTAAGTGGCCGCGTGTATATCCGCCGTATACGATTGGACCGGAAACGGAGGGAAGTACAAATTCCCGTTCGGTTGGATTTCCCTGAAAGTATAATAATAATAAAACACCGTTAGTATACAAAAAGCAGATGACAAAATAAAGCCGAGATGAGTACAATCGTCGCTCAAGAATGCAAGGACCGCATAGCTCGTTTGCGTTGGCAAATTCAAGTTGGCCACACTGACGGACTAGGACTTGTTTTTAAAGTCAATAGATAGAAGCTTAAACCTGATAGAATTTTGACAATATGGTCGTAATAATAATTGTTATTGAACGGTAACCGAAACATATTTTCTGTGCTCTCTTGTAAAGTTCAGATAAAACGTTAAGATACGAGGTATTGTTGCGTCTTAAACGATTGAATATAAAGCAAATATTGTCGGTTAATTGTTATTTTACTTTACACAGTTCTTTGATTTTGTGATGGGCATTTAAAATATGTAAGTCACCAATTGGCTTTTAACAATTTCCCCTTCGAAAAGTACTCTTCAAAATGATTAAAAAAAAACCATACTTGGTATTTAGGAAAATACTATTGTCTTCAAGAGTAGTTTTCAGATTTTTGGCTTAATATAATATTAAATATAATAAAAATAATATTATTTTATTGAAAAATTCAGTTAAACAAGAAAATCCAATAACTCTGTATATTTCCAAAGCATATACCTATTATTATAATAATGATTTTATATTATGTATGTTTTTTCGCGACGATTGTACCCTTCTTTTCTTAGTACGCATAACTGTTCTTTTTCTTGTTGTTCGAATAACTTGCAAAAAAAAAAAAATCTCCACGTGTAATATCCGCTTTGAACAAAATATATCATACACATGGAACTAATACATTTTTTTCGTGCGGGGTTTGAAGTGCAATTTATAATCGATAATTATAATTGGAAACGTTAGAAAATAATAATATGTATAATGTTAAATATTCCACACACGATTTATGATATTATTTAATATATTTGTCACAGCGGTATATTTGCACAATGTTTCATTTGGCGCAATAATAATTGCAACTTATACTTTGAATTTTTTCCAAACTTGGTATATTTTATTATAAGCAAGAAAAAAAATAGCAAATTAAAAATGAATTTTGTAATGATCTTTGATAGTTTGACTAATAACAAAATACTAATTGCGCTAAATTGGCATAGTTTTTTTATACTAAACTTATATCATATTTGTTTTAGTTTGATTAATTATCATAAACTGTTTCCATTCTTTTGGAATTTAAACAAACTTCCCAGGAAATCCCTCTTTATAGTTGCACGTATCATATATTGATAGTTTTCAATGAAACATGGCTTTTCTATGAAATTTCCATTACTCCTCTAAAAGACTCTCGACAGTACATTACAGTTACTGATTCAGTTTAATTATCAAAACAACTATACGAGGGTAATTATTTGTTTAATGCGTTTTCCAATCAAGTCGGAGAAGCATCATAGAAATTTACTGATTTAGACTAGTTTGGCCTGTTAAATAACTACCGGAGCAGTCGTTATACAATTAATCCTTCCCGAATGAACTTGTTGAACCTTCAAATGTCATATTATTGTTCGGTTTTAATGGCTCGTTAACGATGTAAATTAACTAAAAGTCATTAAGCGAAATCGGTTGCCGGTAATGTACCCGCCGTTTTCAATAGTCGTTACTAAAATTGTTGTGATTTTTTTGTTAATTTAATTTCGGTTAATCGACAAAAACAATAAAATAAAAACATAATTCGTTTTGGAAAATAGTAAAAATAACGATAACCCATGTAATAGTGTTAGCCAAAACGGTTTTAACAATATTCATATTTCCCTAGAAAATGAGTGTCTTACATCAGAAACTTAAATTGACCAACATATCTCATCAGCCTTATTGCATTTTTTCATCTTAAACCCAAATTTTTACAACCTCCCGTCCCCTCTCCGACTTAATGATTGTATAAAACTTAAGAGCTGAAAATTGTGGTGAAGGTAGATCTAGCTTTTTCAATTAGCTAAAATCGAAATCATCCCCTCCCCAATTGAAATCAACTACCCCAATAATTATAATATGGTTTGACATATATTTTTTTTTTTTTTTGTTAACCTTGTTAGTGCTGAAAACTAAAACGTTTCAGTGCTGCTTGTATACAACGATTGCGGGTTGAACAATTATTTGTCTGGAATTTATGACACTTAACTGAGTTAATAATACTCTCATCTGTATTCCGGCGGGTGCACAATACAAATATTATACATAAATTATAACTTAAGAGCTACGCTACAGAAGATATGACGTTTTTTTAAGTACCTGAGCCCCGGCACGTCGGTGGCAATTTTGTCATTGTAATATAGCCACGTGACATTCGGCTGAGGGTTTCCTTGTCCCTGGCAGCTTAGCAGTGTGCCCGTGGTGTTTGAAAAGTAAATTAAACTTGGCGGCTCCACCGCGAAGTTAGGGGCTTCCATCGGACTTGGCTGCCACGTAGACGACACGCTTTCTAAACAAACCATCAAACGGTAATAATTACATTAGTGTTTTGTGTCCGTTGTGCTAGTTAACATGTATTTTTTTCGTTTTAATAAAAATATTAAAATTAGGCCATTGGACTTCCATCGTTGAACAGAGATATCTTTGATAAGCTAAAGAGATCTCTGAAATACTTTTCAAATAGTCTATTGGAAGCTGCCATTTTGGCCATGGATGTTGTTCCATTGTTTATAATAAATATATATACCTACCGAGTATTTGCATAATAAAAAAAATGTATTTAGTCGGCAACTTTGCATTTATAATGGCGAGCAGGCGAGCTTTGTACGAAGAACGTGCATATTTTTCTTAAAAACTAGTCGGCATTGCTTATACTTAGATGTACATGATATTATTCTAATTTATATTCACGGCCGGTTCCTGTGGCCGTTTAAAATCAAAAATTGCCAAATGTCATAAAGAAAGTTAATATGAATTAACGCAATATAATTTATTTTTATTCATCGTGTCACTTTGATTCATCGGAGTTCACTAGATCTGTTTTCCCATTTGAGACATCAGTTCTAGATTGCCGGAATACACAGTCGGAAGAGCCACCAACCAAGTACCAAAAAGTCAAGAAGAAGCTCTTGAGGAAGGAAATAAAGACAACTTGGTAAAATACTTTGAAAAAATAATTGTGTACAACCTTACTTTAGTTATAAAATAATTTTCATCACTAAGCCCCTCTAAAACATATGATGGGAATACAAATTCATGCTTAGCTCTCCAGTCTCATCGGTATACGGTATACAGGATGATTGTTTTATCATGGTTCACTCAATATCTCATAGAGTTTAATAGAAAATTACAATGTTTTTTTTTTCATATTATTTTTGTACAATGTGATCTAAATTTTTGAAAATTTTTTTCGTTTATATCCCCCTTCTAACTTAACTTTTTTGACAGCAACTTTTTAATTTTGAAAGGTAGTGGTAGTGGTAGTGGTAGTGGTAACATAAGTGGTAGTTTAAAAATAATAACAATTTTTTTTTAACGAAAAACATTATTTTAAAAATCTTCTGTCGCTGCATTTATTTGCATAGATTTAGTAGAGATTGTTGTCTGTAAAACTCCTGACTGGAATAAAAATAAATGTATTAAAGTAAGCCGTGTGTACAACGTTCTCCTCTCGTTTAACATAATTCACTGCTAAAAGAAAATGTTCATTAAAATCAAACGTAAACTCGTGTCTTCAAATGTTAAACACAAAAACACTACAGTACAATACAAAAAAAAATATTTATTTCTATTTACATAGCTGTGAACACTTTTCCAAATGTCATATCCAAACTGTTTAAGCTTTCTGTTTGAGAGCGAATAGTACTTTTTTTTTTTGTACTGCATTTTAATACGAAACAGTTTATGCTGGTAAAATGTTTTATGACGCGACTATGGAACTGTTATTTTTACTAACCGTAATCGCCGCGTTGGCATCGTACTCGCACCAGTTTCCGCCGAACGAAAGAGATAATCAACAACAGCGTGTCGACCGGCTGAATACAATTCTGAAAAGCGCTGGATGGGGCTGGCTCGACCACGTCGCAGTGAAAAATGACGATTATCCACCGGGTCCGTTCTCGTATTCGGGAATAGATCTATTTGTAGCCTCTGAAGAACCCTCCAACCGCACCACGAATGTGGTGACCCGTGAAAACGTGGAGAAAAAATACCGCACGACCGCTGAGCTGTTGGGCTGTGTGTATGCGACCGCCGTGCATCAGTTTATGCGGTTGACGAAACCCATGCTGGACAAGTGTCTCAACGAGATAATTAATGCGAGAGAAAGAGAACGAGGCCAAAGAAGTCGGTACAGCCAAAGGTGGAAATCGGGTACGGTTACCGCGGATTTTGCAGTACGCCCCGGAAACTATGTGGTGTCCTGTAAACTCTTCAACACCGTTTTGGAACAATTCGAAAATAGCAGACCCATGTTCGATTACATGCTGTACGCGTTGAGATATTTACTAGAACCGTTGGATACAGTTATCGGCGAAACGTTTCGCGGAATTAATTATGTACAATATCTTATGGCCGGCATGATTGAGATTCGAGACATAAAGACTACCCTATACCCCCGTGGACATGTATACCAAGAGAACGCTGATGACAATGTCTATGAATTCGTTCAAATATTAAAAAAACTTTTAGAACGGCAAGTAAACACAGTTCTGTTACCTTTTATTGAGAAATTTTGCATAGTACCGAACCAAGGTGAAACGACCAACCAGTCCCTGAGTGATTACTCTGAGGATATGGTAAAATTTCAGATCGAAACACTCGTGGAAGAGGTGATAAATAAACACTTCTTAGACTTAGGCTTTCAGTATGTTGTAACTACAATTTAATTATTATTGCTAATCAAATGTTTAAATCTGGGTATTACATGATTTGCACTTTTTTCCAGACTAAATTTGTAAAAATTTATCATTTTTATTGTACTATTATTAGTGCTAGTATATGGGTTTTTTTTTTCGTGTAGTGAAATATATATTTATTATCGAATACGCTTTAATGTTTTAAATAAATCATTTATTATTGCAAGAATATTATTATTGTAAGAATATATGGATAACAATGCTGAATGCTTTATAAAATTGGAAATCGAATTATGCGTGCGTGCGAATGTCAAACGTTTTACAAATTATTGGCATTGTAAAAAGTAATTAATTTTAAAGAGCCCGTTTCAAGACAACAACAGGGCAAAATATAACATGTGTATTCTAAAAGTATACTTATAATATTTAAGAAACTGTAGAAACCGTATTCCGTGTCCAATATTAGTCTGTTCGAGCAACAACGTTCCGTTTGAATTGGTACAACTGCAACTCTACATAATGATTATTTAGACGTTTTCGATATTGCAACATAATAGTAGTTGAAAGGTTGTGTGTATAAGACTTGAATGTTTTAAGTGGAGTGCAGATTTGTTTTTTAAAAGTTATTGATACACAATACGAGTAGACCTATCTTCAGTCTAATTTTCAGCTCTTAAGTCTTAAAATTGCACCTTAAATATGGAGAAAAAAAAATTCAACTCTTGCGTGGGGTGTAGGGTTATTAACACTGGACTTACCACTACTTACTACTACAACTCACTTAGGTACAATACTTTCTTACTATGCTTGGTTTGGACTGTATCATCCACAGATTCGCATCAAACCGTTTGTTTTGAAGTATAAGAGATAAGATAATAGAGATAATGGATAAGAGATAAGATAATAGAGATACTAGATTAGAGAGAGAGGTTAGAGATAATGGATTAGAGATAAGAGAAAAAGAGTACAGATAAAAATAAACATAATGGATTACAGATAATATATTAGAGTAAAGATATTAGAGATAATAGATTAGAAAAAAGAGATGAAATAAAAAATAGATATAATGGCTTAGACATAAGACATAAGAGATACTAGATTTGCGATAAAAATAAAGATAATGGATAAGAGATAAAGATTAGGGATAATAGATAAAAGAAAAGATATTAGAGATAAAATAGAGATAATGGATAAGAGATAATATATTAGAGAAAAGATTTAAAAAAAAAGATATAATGGATTACAGATACTAGATAAGAGATAATGGATTAGAAATAATAGATGAGGAAAAAGAGATAAGAGATAATAATAGAGATTATGGCTTAGACATACGAGATTAGACAACAAATAGAAATAATGTATTAGAGATAAGATATTAGGGATACTACATTTGAGATAAAAATAGGATAATGAATAAGAGATAAACGATTAGGGATAACAGATTAAATAAAAGAGATTAGAGATAAAATAGAGATAATAGATTAGAAAAAAGAGATGAGATAAAAAAGATAGATATAGTGGCTTAGACATAAGACATTAAAGATACTAGATTAAAGATAAGACATTAGAGATACTAGATTTGAGTTGAAAATAGAGATAATGGATAAGTGATAAGAGATTAGGGCTAATAGATTAGAGAAAAGAGATTTAAAAATTGGGATAATGGATTAGAAATAACAGATGAAGGAAAAGAGGTCAGAGATAATGGCTTGGACATAAGAGATTAGACATACAAACAGAAATAATGTATTACATTTAAGATATTAGGGATACTAGATTAAAGATAAGGAAAGTACCAAAAAGTTCGAGGGTCCTATACTTGGGTACAAAGACATAAGCATATTGTGTATTCATGTATCCGCTTGCAGTGTGGATAGTCGTTAGTGTTTTGTTATCGAATCGATACCGACAGTTTGGAATGTGCGTTTATATTTTAGACACGCAAGAAAGTTCCGGTTCCGCCATTGCGAGTTAGCGTCTCGGTTTGCCGATGGATTCTTCAAGACACAAAGAACGGCCGTCGGCACGTAAACATTACACAATAGTAATAACATTGTACACATACAAGTCGAATCGAGTTAATTCCTCCTTATCCTTTTCCGAGCGTCTTAAAGGGCTTTTTGTTTATTTGTGTGCAATCTCATCGGTATTCACGTCGATGAAACTGCGATTGATAGTCTACGGCGTGAGAGTGTAGGGTGAAGGGCGGAGGAATGCGAGGAGAGGAGAGGGCCACCTTTGGTTGGGAAGGGTGTGTGAGAACGAGAACACTGCTGGGGCAATAGGAATTTCATTTTTGCCCGAGACCTTTTGTATTAGCCCTCTCTCCATTCTCGCTAATAGGGTTCGAAAAATGAGAAGAATAATAATAATCTCGCCGCCCCTTTGTCCCTTTCCACTCGCCGACCTAGTTGTGCATTAATGTTTCCTCTGTCTTGTTTTTTTTTCTCCTCTTTTCTTTTACCCTCAATGAGAAAAGACAAAATAATCCAAATCCCGTCGTTGTCGGTTTGTCTAGTTGTGTTCTCTTTTTAATGTTTTATAAATACAAATATTCCGTCTTCACTCTCTGCCGGTTCTGTTTTGTTGAGTTCTACGGAAAAAAAGGTCTTTTGTCTGCTCCGCCATTTCCTTATTATGATGTTTTAATAAT